GGATAAACAACAACAGCTCTACTGTTTTCTGTCACCCAGCCTTCATAATATTTCTTCCTCTGATCTTCCGAACACAAGCACACAGGGTGAGCACTGGTCTGCACACCCAGCAGCAGGATGGTGTCCAGAAGGACCTGGAGAGGGAGGAAAGGGCTGACAGGGACCACACGCAGTTCAGGGTCCTGGCCGGGAAAGCAGAGCCTTTAGGCAGAGGGATGTGACTGTTTCTGTCCATTGTGAGCCCGGATGCAGCTACTGCACCCCATTTTTGGCCACCCAGCACAGGGGAGGTGTCGGCAGACTGAGAGGACTCAGGGGAACAGGGGACAGGACTCAGGAGAGGCTGAGATGGTGGGGCTGGGGCACCTGCCCTGTGAGGAGAGGCTGTGGAGCTGAGGCTGGTTCAGCCGGAGCAGAGACAGCTTCTGGGGAGACCTTAGTGCTGCCTGTAATTAACTGTCTGTGGGGGGAGAGAAAAGCCCTTCGCAGAGACACCTGGTGGGGGGAGAGAGCCCACAGGAACAGGTGGGAGCATGGGAAATTTCAATTTTAAATTTAAAAACACCTACAGTGGTGGAAGTCAAACGTAGGAACAGAGGCTTAGGGAGAGATACCATAGAATCTCCATCCGTGGGGACATTCAGAACTAAACTGGAGGCAGCTCTTGGCAACTTGATCCAGGTAGCAGTCCTCTGAGCAGCAGGTTGGACAGGAAATCTCCTAATGACACTTCCCACACATTTGCTTTTAAAATTTTGTTATTCTAAATACTATCTTTTTATTCAATTTGACAGGCAAAATGTTGTTGTTTTCTTTTGTTTTCTAAACTTAGTATGTTGCATATTAGAGGCATTCCAGCAGACTTGTAAAATTGCCTTGCAAATGGTTGATTAGCTCTGGAACATGAACATATATGCCTGCTGTCAGTTTGCTGATGAGCACAAGCTGGAGAAATAACAGCATATAGTGGTGACCTTTTAAATCAACGTTACTTATTCTATTTCAAATCTGAATGCAAAAAGATGCATTAGCAAATTATATTATGTCAAGTAGGAATAATGAACTATCACCTTAAAGAAAAAAAAGAAAGCTATTTAAAAATCAAAGCTCTGATTATTTTTTCTCAGAACGTGTCTTTATGTTTCCATTCCATGGAGCCAGTAAAGACTCACACTGGCTCTTCACACTTGGGTGTGTTCTGTACAGTTGAACATTTCACCCATTTCACAAGGCAGAGGGGAAAACAGTTTCAGCATACTCAGAAAGCCACAGATGCTGAGATGATAAATAACCAAGGCCAAATATGATCTCCTGCCGTCAGGGGAACACTGCAGCTTTTCCCATTATTCCCCCCCTTTACTACCCCTGCAATGGACCGAGGCATTCTGATCAAATTCCCATTTCAGAGTTCCTTTCCCTGGGTGAGCACCGTAATCATCCAAGCCAAGCAGCTGGTGACAAGCGGAAACGTGTGATGGGCTGAGGGGAGCATCCCTGAAGGATTTCTGTGCCGGAAGGGCTGAGCAGGAGAGCCCTCAGTGTCCCCCTTGGACCCGCACAGTGACCTGTCAGACACAATCCCCACGGGTGCTGTGGGCCAGTGCACGGGCTCGGCAGGTATTTTACTTTCTTCTGCCTGCCTTCCTCCCCGTCCTCCCCAAAAGGCTGGAGGGAAGGCTGCGCACACCATAAACTGCCCCAGCCCCACCGTGCGAAAGCGCCAAGAGGTTGCTGCTGCTGAACATGGTCTCCTTGGTTTCGCTCTGGGCAGAAAAATGGATTTTGGAAGGACAAAAAGGGATTTTCCACAAGTTCCACAGAAATCCCGTCCATCATTACAGTGAAACAGCAGGGAAATGTCTCCGTGACACACTGGTGAATGACCTCCACCACTGAAGCTCATCACTTGCTCGCTCTTCTGGAAGAGGAGGCTTTGGTCTGGGACGATGCCTTTGCCGACAGCTGGACTCATGGTAGCTCCTCTGGGACTGAAAAGAAAGTTCTTCAAGCTTTCTTAAGTCTTGTCAACTCAACAGATTCCCTGACCAGGGTGTGTGGTGAAAGACACCCAAAGCCCAGATGTCTTGCTGTCATGGAACTGTGAGAGGATGCAGAGTCTTACATATTTTACAAAGAGAACTGACAACTTTACGGAGGGTGTAGCACTAAAATATATTGCTTAGAATAACTGCGTATATTCAAAAGGATAACTATCATAATTAACTACAAATAATTGTCTACAATATTACTACAGGTTATAGATTATGCACAATTACAAATATAATAATAAACTAATAGTTTTATCACACGAAGTTTGTATCCTAATCTGCATTTATTTCTTAAGACCCGTGTAAAATTATTGCATTTTTTAAGCAGTTCTTAATAAAACTCTACCTACTCTATGCACGTATACATAGGTGTATTATTTTGCAAAATATGCAATATAATTTTCATAGAATCATTTCAGTAGAAAGTAGTGCCTATACTGAATACTGATATATGAAGGGTTTGGGAACCATTCATTTATTTATTTATTTACTAATGGAATTACTTACTATTTATAATAAATGTAAATGTAATTACGTATTATTTCCCTGTTATTAGTCTAAAGAATGTTCTATTATCAGTGGTTTGATATTGAAAACATGAGGCAATTTCTCTTTCTCAGGTCATGCATATTGCACACTTCATGCGCTCGGACAGAAGAGCCTTCCGTGGTGTGAATTTTGAACTGCTGACTTGTAATAACAAAGAGTTTCAGGTGTTCTGAATCAGAATTACTCTTCTGAGGGATTAGCACGTGCTGAGAGTCTGGCCCTGCTAATATTTCAATTTCTTCCTCTTTACAGATAGGCAGTAAACAAACATTTTCTAAAATGCAAAATACCACATTGTGTATCCACCAGTACCTGCTTGCCTCCATGTGTAATTGGGTACCTCTACCCTCAATTATTGCAGCAATTCAAACATTTATTTGTTTTGTGGATGTTCCTTATATTATTGTTGCTGACATATGCTTAAATTACCTCTGGCAATTACACATACTGACTCCTCAGAGGAAGTCAGCTCCATTTTTCCCTTACTTTACAAATTTTTGGAATAAACAGCTTCAACCTGGAACAAGTAGGTGCACACAGGTGAGTACTTTGAGGTAAATTCTTGCCAACTAAAGCTGATAGCTCAATACTCATCAGTGAAGCATTTAGTGGCACATATTTGTATCTAAACTAATTCCCAAAAACATGTGAAATGAACCAAAGAAATCCCATATATTCAAAACTCTCGCATGCAAAAATCATTACAGGTCATTAAGGAACTAGTGATAAATATGTGCACATCTTACTACTCCATGGTTCATGTTCTGTGATTTTACAGCTGATAAACCCAAGCTTTATTTTACCCAGTAGCAATAAACAGCTACTGGATAGTAGACCTTTCATAGACCCTTCATAGGCCTTTGCTCATAGAAACATTTAGCAAAGGTGTTTAATCTGGTTTTGTTCACCTGAGTGATGATTTTGACCACTGCTTTGTGATTTCAGTTTTGTGCAGGAACCAATGACGCTCTGGTGCTGTTACGGGGAATGCCTTGAGCAGGCAATAAAAATGTCTTATGTCTCAAGTCTCTCTTTAATGCTGTGATGGGTAAACCAAAATACTCCAAAGATGTAAACATTTACTGGAACTGTCTTTTCTTCTACTGACTGATGGCTCACCAATGTACTTTGAATAGATTCTGCTGTTGGAAGAAAACTCAAACTAGAACAATTATTCTTCAATAAAAAAAGCTAAAGTTTATTTTGACTTTGCATGAATTCCACCCTCAATCTAACAATTTCATCTATTTTTCAAAGACTTGATAATCCTGCCTGACAGTCCTATCTGACAAGAGATGTTCTCTACAGGTTCCTACAATTTCTGAATTCAATCTCACTGCAACATTATGCACACTGCATGCTGCCATTTTCTTTTTTATCTCTTCAGTTACGGTGGATTTCAAATTCAATATCATAGAATCATAGAATCATATGGGGTTGGAAGGGACCTCTGGAGATCACCTAGTCCAACCCCCCCGCCAAAGCGGGTCAGCCTAGAGCAGGTTGCACAGGAACTTGTCCAGGCAAGTTTTTAATGTCTCCAGAGAAGGAGACTCCACCATCTCTCTGGGCAGCTTCTTCCAGTGCTCTACCACTCTCACAGTAAAGAAGTTCCTCTCACATTTAGGTGGAACTTCTTATAGTCAAGTTTGTGCCCATTTCTTGTCCTGTCACTGGGCATCACTGAAAAAAAAACAGCCCCATCCTCCTGACACCCACCCTTTAAGTATTTGTATGCATTGATTAGATCCCCCCTAAGTCTTCTCTAGATGAAAAGACCCAAGTCCCTCAGCCTCTCCTCATAAGAAAGATGCTCCAGAGCCCTAATCATCTTTGTGACCCTTTGCAGTACCCCCTCCAGCAGTTCCCTGTCCTTGAACTGGGGAGCCCAGAACTGGACCCAGTACTCCAGATGGGGTCTCACCCAGGCAAAGTAGAGGGGGAGGATGACTTGCCTCCACCTGCTGGCCACACTCTTCTGGATGCAGCTGACGATGCCACAGGCCTTCTTGGCCACAAGGCCCCACGGCTGGCTCATGGTCATCCTATTGTCCACCTAGCTAAGGGATAGAAAAGCTTGATTGACATAGAAGCCTTCAGACAGAAAGTGTTGACCAGTTCTGGGACTAGGGTTGGATCCAGCCGCCCCCAGACTCCCCTCTGGGAAGGAGTCTAGAAAGCACTGGGGTCCTCTCTGAACCTCATGACTCAAGGGAAGGCTCTCCCTGACACTTCTCTCTGACCTTGGCCTCCGGGCAGTAAAGAACCCAGTGCACCTTGCCATCAAATCCTGTTCAAACCCAGTTGCATTCCCCATCGCAGGCTCTGGCAGAGCCGGGTGGGGCCCAAGGTGGTGCCTGTGATGCGCTCCGGCCCCTGGGACACCCCAGGGGACGTGTCACAATGGGGGTGAGGTATAAAGGGTGCCAACAGGCAGCTGCCCCAGTACGGCCTGCGCCGGCGGTGAGGGAGCTCGCGGCTCTCTCGCTACTCCTGTGGGCCATGGCTTCGACAAGAGTTCTCGTCTTCCTGGTGCTCAGCATCCTCCATCTCCCGCCCATGGCGGGCCCCTGGCTGGATAGGACCACCTGGGAGCACAAGCAGCAGCCTGAGGAGTTCCAGGCGAGCCTGGAGCAGGCGAGCCTGAAGGAGGCGAGCCTGAAGGAGGAGAGCCTGAAGGAGGCGAGCCTGAAGGAGGAGATTGTTGGGCAGAGTGACTTTTCCTGGGGAAGTCTCCCTCTCTTTGCTACCATGCAGCTATGGCAGTTCTGGGAGGTTCCTGGAAACCTGGTGCTGCTTGTGGAGCTCTGCTCCTGGCTCTTGAAAGGGATCCATCAGCAAAGGAGCAGGGATGTGGAGGAGAGCTCCAGCAGCAGTGAGGAGATGGAGAGCAGTACGGAGGAGAAGGAGGAGGAGGAGGAGAAAGAAAATGGTGAAGAAGACTCCGACTGTGAGGGGCATCTCTTCAGGGAGCCCATGTGGCGCTCGTCGTGCAGAGTGGCCGACACGAGGCGGGCGGTGAAAAAGCTGGTGGGCGATCTCCTGCGTGTCCTGCAGCAGTCCTTGTCAGACGGCTTCTTCCCGGTGCCACAGCCAGCCATCGGGGTGGGCAGCGCCTTTGAAGGCTGGAGTCCCTGTGGGCACGAGTACTGCCTGCTTGTGCCTCTGAAGCCCCCGCAAGGGCACGCCTTCCAGCTGGAGCTGGGCACTGCATGGGAGGTGCTGGCAAAGAACCGTGTCCGCGTGGAGATGGTGTGCACCTGCACGAGGAGCACCCGTGTGCAGAAGAACACGGTCTGCTTTGTCCACCAGCCCTATGAGGCGCGACAGATCAACCAGGATTCCAGCCTCCTCAGCAACCTCTGCACCGGCCGCTACCTCGATGCTGAGAAAACTGCCCGCTGGTTCCAGGGCTTGGTGAGCTCCGCTTGGGACAAGACGCCTTCTTCACGTCGCTACGCGCTGAGGGTGCTGCCTTCCAGCCGCTCCTGCAAGCTGGAGCTGACAGACGCCTCCGGCAGGTGCCTCTCCGTGGAGATGGTCTTTGGGGTGCAACGAGGTGACTCGGACGTCTTCCTCAGCAGCCAGGCTCCAGAGGCTATCTTCCAATCAAGCACCACCTGGGCAGAGAGCTACGCTGTGGCAGAGGCCAAGTTCTTCCGGCATTTGGCCAGGCAGGCCCCACAGGACACCTTCCACCTCAAATGCCTGCAGCTCTATGCCGGTACCCCGGTGGGCACAGTCCTCTCCTCCTTCTTCTTGAAGACAGCTGTCATGCATGTCCTCAACTTCATACCCCTGTCAGGCTGGCGGACGGTGTCCTACCACACCCGGCTGCAGGATATTATGCGCTACCTGCGCAGCTGCCTGAAGAAGAAAAGCCTCGCTCACTTCTTCTTCGGCAACGAGCTGTTGCCCAAGGACATCGTCCTGCCCCCAGCCCTCCAAGAAGCTGAGCCATTCAACATCTTTGAGTGCCTGGTGCAGGGCCCACAAGCTTACCACAAGGCACTGCAGGAGTTGCAGGAACTGGAAGAGCGCTTCGAGGGGATTTTGCACTACAGAGTCTGAAAGAGGTTTTCACCTCTGACAGCACCGCCGTGGTTGTCTCCCCTGGACTGCCTGCTGGCTTCCAGAGTCTCCATTCTTTCTGGGAGCTTCATTTTGTACATAGTTGTGAATAAACAGTACATTGGCAAAAAAGCCGCATCTCTGAAGGTCTGTGTATCGGTTTTTGAGAATCAGTGTTTAGAATCACATCTCTCCTGTCGGCCCCCTTTAGGTACTGGAAGACTACTAAAACGTCTCCCCGGAGCCTTCTCTTCTCCAGCCTACACAACAACCACTACAATTCTTGATCTAGTCCCAGTCATCTCTTTCACCTTTGGCTACTCTAACTCTACAAGATACTATATTGACATATATAAGGCTCTGCACCGGCCGCTACCTCGATGCTGAGAAAACTGCCCGCTGGTTCCAGGGCTTGGTGAGCTCCGCTTGGGACAAGACGCCTTCTTCACGTCGCTACGCGCTGAGGGTGCTGCCTTCCAGCCGCTCCTGCAAGCTGGAGCTGACAGACGCCTCCGGCAGGTGCCTCTCCGTGGAGATGGTCTTTGGGGTGCAACGAGGTGACTCGGACGTCTTCCTCAGCAGCCAGGCTCCAGAGGCTATCTTCCAATCAAGCACCACCTGGGCAGAGAGCTACGCTGTGGCAGAGGCCAAGTTCTTCCGGCATTTGGCCAGGCAGGCCCCACAGGACACCTTCCACCTCAAATGCCTGCAGCTCTATGCCGGTACCCCGGTGGGCACAGTCCTCTCCTCCTTCTTCTTGAAGACAGCTGTCATGCATGTCCTCAACTTCATACCCCTGTCAGGCTGGCGGACGGCGTCCTACCACACCCGGCTGCAGGATATTATGCGCTACCTGCGCAGCTGCCTGAAGAAGAAAAGCCTCGCTCACTTCTTCTTCGGCAACGAGCTGTTGCCCAAGGACATCGTCCTGCCCCCAGCCCTCCAAGAAGCTGAGCCATTCAACATCTTTGAGTGCCTGGTGCAGGGCCCACAAGCTTACCACAAGGCACTGCAGGAGTTGCAGGAACTGGAAGAGCGCTTCGAGGGGATTTTGCACTACAGAGTCTGAAAGAGGTTTTCACCTCTGACAGCACCGCCGTGGTTGTCTCCCCTGGACTGCCTGCTGGCTTCCAGAGGCTCCATTCTTTCTGGGAGCTTCATTTTGTACATAGTTGTGAATAAACAGTACATTGGCAAAAAAGCCGCATCTCTGAAGGTCTGTGTATCGGTTTTTGAGAATCAGTGTTTAGAATCACATCTCTCCTGTCGGCCCCCTTTAGGTACTGGAAGACTACTAAAACGTCTCCCCGGAGCCTTCTCTTCTCCAGCCTACACAACAACCACTACAATTCTTGATCTAGTCCCAGTCATCTCTTTCACCTTTGGCTACTCTAACTCTACAAGATACTATATTGACATATATAAGGAGATCCGAAGTTAGAGCCAGATCTGTACTTTCTGCGTATGCTGTTCTTTCAGTTTCTCTTCATCTTCCAACAGACAAAACTCTTATTTTCTCCCATGCTCTCTTTCAGGCTTAAGAGGCTCTTCAGAATCATCAAGTATTTCTTTTGCTCCTTACTTTGCCCTTCTCTTCCATAGTTACTTGGGAAGGGGTGGATTGTCTGGCAGCATCTAGTACATTCATTTTCCCGAGAGACCACTGGCCTTTTGGATGCCCATCCTATCCAGGCCTTCAAAAGACACCCTCCTTTGAATAACGTTTTCCCAATACTACGTTAATCAGACCTCATCAGAAATCTTGAAGTCTAACAGGCTGAACATAATGCAATGGGTACCAACTGCACTTTATCAGCTGCTTGGTTTTTATTTGTACTCGTGTTTTGTGACTCAAAAGACTGTGCTGCTCTCAGAAAAGCAAGTACCAGCACAAAGCTGTCTTCTTTTTCATGAGTTTCTATTTGATGAGATATGTCAGACCAGAAATCATTGATTTCACAGAATCACAGAATCACAGAATGGTATGGGGTTTGAAGGGACCCCTGGAGATCATTTCTCTCTTTGTAAGTGCTATATTTATGTCAAAAAGCTCACACATGTGTGGAAATGGATACTCGGTGCTCTAGCAAAACAAAATATTTAAGCCATTTCTACCACTGCTTGAAGAGAGTTTGGTTTGACCATTTTCTTCCACCTCTCTCAAGGCCATGCCATGCTGAAACAGTAATGGGAAGTGAAGGCCTGCCTGCCTCTTTCTTTCCTTCTACCATTTAGAAAAAGATACCCTGATGGTTCCTTAAGAGATCTAGAAACTGAAAGTGAAAGACATCAGAAGCACCTCCCAGATGGGAATGGCTGTACACCATCCCCCTTGTATCTCACAATTCTTAAGTTCTGAAAGCAAACCCAACTAAGGCATACCTGTATGATTTTCTATGCGGTCAGCTTCGGGATAGGTCCAAGCAGAAAATTAAGTTCCTTGAGTCTCTTTGATGTGAGGAAGCCTTCTTCCAAATCTCCATCAGCTGTTCCGCTCTGTAAAAAACCACATTCATCTTGAGTGTAGAGTGCATTTGAAAATCGTGGGGGCAGTTTAACTGAGGCAGCTTCTTCTGTCCTTCTCTGCCAAATACATATGTCAACACTAATTTCATGAATCACCTTGAGATCTATGGATCAAAGAGGAGACTTACTCCACCTGCATCCCCCTGAGCATGGCTCTCCTGGGAACAGCTTATGCACAGTGATAACACAGAGCTCAGGTGAGGAATTGCCTTCCTTGAATTCTCCTGACCCTGACAAGACCTCTACAGTCAACCTTTCCAACAGATGTAACCATTAGAGCTGGTTTGTTCAGGGATTGTATGTTCTTCAGATGGTAATTCAGCAACAACCTGCTCGCCAAGAAAAAAGAGAATATGCTGGGGCAGGTTTGTCAATGAACATCACCAAGACATTGTCTCAGCTCAGTAAGAACACGGTGTTTCATATGATGTGTGTGACCTTAAAAGAAAGTTGCCTCACTGAGTATATAGGGAATATGGAAGACATGGGGTCCACACAGGAAAAACTGAGAAAAATATCCCTCTCTGGAAACCTTTATTTTAGCTTTATGAAACAGGAAACATAATAGTCAGTTTAGTGATTTTTATTTTTTCAATTTTGACAAAAAACCAGGAAATTGTATGGGTTTTTTTTTCAGTACCAATGTCTACTTTTCAGCCATCTCCAAACAAGAATTACATCAATTTGGTTGGGTTTGACCATTTTCTTCCACCTCTCTCAAGGCCATGCCATGCTGAAACAGTAATGGGAAGTGAAGGCCTGCCTGCCTCTTTCTTTTCTTCTACCATTTAGAAAAAGATACCCTGATGGTTCCTTAAGAGATCTAGAAACTGAAAGTGAAAGACATCAGAAGCACCTCCCAGATGGGAATGGCTGTACACCATCCCCCTTGTATCTCACAATTCTTAAGTTCTGAAAGCAAACCCAACTAAGGCATACCTGTATGATTTTCTATGCGGTCAGCTTCAGGATAGGTCCAAGCAGAAAATTAAGTTCCTTGAGTCTCTTTGATGTGAGGAAGCCTTCTTCCAAATCTCCATCAGCTGTTCCGCTCTGTAAAAAACCACATTCATCTTGAGTGTAGAGTGCATTTGAAAATCGTGGGGGCAGTTTAACTGAGGCAGCTTCTTCTGTCCTTCTCTGCCAAATACATATGTCAACACTAATTTCATGAATCACCTTGAGATCTATGGATCAAAGAGGAGACTTACTCCACCTGCATCCCCCTGAGCATGGCTCTCCTGGGAACAGCTTATGCACAGTGATAACACAGAGCTCAGGTGAGGAATTGCCTTCCTTGAATTCTCCTGACCCTGACAAGACCTCTACAGTCAACCTTTCCAACAGATGTAACCATTAGAGCTGGTTTGTTCAGGGATTGTATGTTCTTCAGATGGTAATTCAGCAACAACCTGCTCGCCAAGAAAAAAGAGAATATGCTGGGGCAGGTTTGTCAATGAACATCACCAAGACATTGTCTCAGCTCAGTAAGAACACGGTGTTTCATATGATGTGTGTGACCTTAAAAGAAAGTTGCCTCACTGAGTATATAGGGAATATGGAAGACATGGGGTCCACACAGGAAAAACTGAGAAAAATATTCCTCTCTGGAAACCTTTATTTTAGTTTTATGAAACAGGAAACATAATAGTCAGTTTAGTGATTTTTATTTTTTCAATTTTGACAAAAAACCAGGAAATTGTATGGGTTTTTTTTTCAGTACCAATGTCTACTTTTCAGCCATCTCCAAACAAGAATTACATCAATTTGCTCCCTCTTGTTATGAAAAGGCACATTAAGCTACATAATAGCCACAAATACTGGGGTACTGCTGGCTGCATGAAAGACAAAAGGATGATCTTCAGGCATGGGTGAAAGTCTAGTTGAGCCAGAAATCTGGCTTCTAGAAGAAAATGTGAGCATGAAACACCAAAATTACAGCTTTTCAAGGAACCGTCCAAATGTTATGGATAGCAAAATATCTCAACTCTCAGCTGTGACACTGGCTTTTGGAACAACGTCTGAATATGTAAACATTCCCTTTGGAAGAGAAACTCACTCCATTGTGTTTGTTTTCTCCAGTCTTTTGCAGCTGAGCTGGAAAATTGCTAAACCGGTTTTCTTGGAAGCCTGTCAGAGCAGAAATTAAACATTCAGACCTGTGATGACTACTGAACATTATATTATTTTCCACTGATAGGAGTGGGATTAGAGAGTCTCAGTTTATACATTCCCGTGAACATGTCCAAATAGGTAAATTAATTAACAAGTATGAAAAATATGCTTTGATTGCTAGTCAGGTCTTCAGGTGAAATGGAGGAAGAGATGTAGTTAGACCCCACTCCTTTCTAAACCCCAAACCCAACACAGTTTCAAGATTAGGTTATTGGAAAAACTCACCTCTGACATGATACTGATCCCAGACTACCTTAATAATGTCTTCCCTTAGGAAGTGTTCTTTCCTTTTCTTTCACTCTAGTTGTCTTCCTCCATAAATCTGGCTTCATATTTTCCTGCTCCAGTTCTTAAATACATCTTTATGCCACCGTTGTGACACCTTTGAGGCCACCTTCTACTCCTTTGGAAAATAATGCAAGATCTCACTGAATTGCAGTGTCACTTGAGGGAATGGGACATTCAGGAAGTCTTTTTTGGAGCATTGTGACATGGTCATATTAATGATGGCTCATGACAGAGGTCAGTCACAAACCGAAACAAGGCTCCTTCAATCTCAGGGATTTCTGAGCACTCCAGTGAAAAGCCAAGCTGTGGGAAGGAAAAGCAATTTCCCCATTCTGATCCCTGAGTCAGAGCAGTTCGTGCCAGACCTATCAAGAACGAAAAATATTTTCGCCATAACACAAACTGGCTTTGTCTGAGAGGCAGCCTAATGGCCATTCTCTGTTGATCTCTTCTGGAGAAGTGGGTGCTCTCTCTAGTGTCAGCTTAGACCTACACATGGCTTCCTGGAGGGGACAATGTTGAGAGATACTGTGCTTCCTATATGTATGAACTCTACTCGTATTGCTGCCACTCTTATCTGCCAAGCTGCAGATTGCAGAGTTAATTCGTCAACTGCTCAGGTCTGTGTTGTGGTTTGACCCCAGCTGGCAACTAGGACCACACAGCCATTCACTCACCCTCCCACCCACCTGCCCTCAGGAGCATAGGGAGAAAAGCGACAAAAAGAAAAAAAAAAAAAAAAAAAAAAAAAAAAAAGAAAGTTGTGAGCTGGGATAAAGGCAGTTGAATAAAACAGTAATGGAAGATAATAACAACAACAACAGGTAAGAGACTATACAAAATAAGTGATGCAATACAATTGCTCACCACCTTGTCTGATTGCCCAGCCCATCCTGAGCATCAGTCACCAGTTCCTGCTGCCCAGCCAACGTCTGTTTATATACTGAGCATGATGTCTGTGGTATGGAATATTCTTTTGGTCAGCTTGTCCTGTCTATGCTCCCTCTCAGCTTCTGTGGGAAGCCGAAAAAGTCTTTGATTTAATATAAGCATTACTTAGCAACAACTAACACCGTATGT